GAAGCCAGGAGTGCTAGCACAAATACAATTTTCTTTATTTCACAGGTAAGGAAATTGAGTCTCAGAGACACTAGTGACTTGTACAAGGTCATACTATGAGTAGAGTTTGCAGAGCTGGAGTTTAAACCTTAGTCTTCTTGCTCCAAGTTTGGCGATCTTTCCATTATGTGTATGTCATTAGTGTGTAAAAAATCTTGAACAAGTGCCTTTGATACTTAGCTTTTGCTATCAAAGCATTGCAGAATAAATATAGTCTTATCTGGCCTAAATTTAGCATTAACACTTAGGTCACAGTATTTGAGGACAACATTTGTTAAGAAGCAGATAAACAAAAACTGTGTGAATATACAGGCTTGTCTGGTGCAAATAATCGCAGCAAACACATTTGATACCTTCTTTTCAACTATGACACTGTTATCATTACCTTGAATGATCAAATGCTTTTCTAGAAGGAAGCACGCATTCTAGCTGAATTAAAATACATCCTGGTTTTAAAGACCACAGGCAATTGTATAACCTCTCTGTGCATCCTATTACCATGTTTAACAACCTTCTCAGTAAGAATGGAGGTCCTTTTCTGAGCACTAACCTAACATCTTATGCTGCATGATAAGATCATTTCTTTTCATTATTTCCTTAAAAGAGATAGACAATTGCAGAACCCTGTCTTATGTAAGGTAATATATAATAGGCATATGTTAGCAAAAAATAGTATAAGAAGCCATTAGTATATTTGCATAAGTATTACAATATGTAAATATAGTAGAATCTTATGTGAGCAGACAAGCTAACATTCATGTTAATTTTTTTAAATTGGATTTCATTGCAATAGGGAACTCCCAATGAGGACACTCCCTATATCAATGCAAATCTCTACCTGCTCTACAAGCCATATTCTTTTTTTTTTTCATTATTGTTGCAAAGCAATTGGGGTTAAGTGACTTGCCCAGGGTCACATAGCTAGGAAGTGTCAAGAGGCTGAGGCTGGATTTGAACTCAGGTCCTCCTGACTCCAGGGCCAGTGCTCTATTCACTGAGTCATCTAGGTGCCCCTACAACCCATATTCTTAGAATTTCTAGAGCAATGAAAAGTTGAATGACCTGTTCAGAATTACACAGCTAATTTGTGTCAAAGGTGGAGCTTGGACCTAGATCTTCCTGACTCTAATCTATTAGACCACACTGAAATGGTGTTAATAATCTCTTAACATTTATACAGTGATCTCTCTCTCTCTCTCTGTACATACATACACACACACACACACACACACACACACACACACACAGACATATATTCAGTAGGAGTGGTGTGGTGTGGTGGATAGAATAATAAGTCTGAAGTCAGGAAACCTGGGTTAAAATTCCATCTCTGAACTGCTTTCTAGTTCTGTGACATTGTGCAATGCCCTTAATCTCAAAGTCTCAGGCAACTCTCTAAGACCTGAAAGCTAGTTGTGTGATGATGGGCAAGGTACTTCAATTCTTTGCATCTCAGACATCACTCTAAGACTATCTACTGATTTACAGGTGATTGGGACCTTTATTTCAAACAAATCACAGATTCTTGATGTATTGATGTTTATAAACATTATTCTCATTTGTTCTCACAACAACCCTGTGAATTAGATAGTACAAGTATTATTATCCCCTTTATAGGTGAAGAAATAGACACTCAAAGAGGTGAAATGAAGATCACACAGTTAGTGATGGTAGGAGCTGGAACTTGCTTGAATTATGGTCTTCTGAATCAAAGTCTAGTGTTTTCTTTTTTGTTAAAGGGGACGAGAATAGAGACTGTAAATTATAGGCATCTCATGATTCCAAGTGATTTCATTGGTTGTCCCCCATGCATGGAACTCTTTCCCTCATCTCTACCTCTTGGCTTCCCTGGCTTCCTTCAAGTTAACCAATCCCACCTTAATAAGAAGCCTTTCCCAGTCCTCCTTAATATTACCTTCACTCTGAGATTGTTTCATTTGTTTATAGTTGTTTCAGTCATATCTGTTTCTTTGTGACCCCATTTGGGGTTTTCTTGGCAAAGATACTGAAATGGTTTGCTATTTCCTTCTCCAGCTCATTTTATAGATGAGGAAACTGAGGCATATAGGATTAAGTGAGTAGCTCTAGGGCACATAGCTAGTAAGTGTCTGAAGCTGGATTTGAACTCATGTCTTCCTGACTCCTGGACCAGCACTCTATGCACTGTGACACCTAGTTGCTCTTACTCTGAGATTATCTCCTATTTATCATATGTATACACATATATGTACATATATATGTATATATGTATACATATATGTATATATGTATATATGTGTGTATATATGTATATATATACACACACATATATATGTATATGTACATATATATATACACACATCCATCTACCCATCTCTCTATCTATCTATCTTGCTTGCTTACTTGCATGTAACTTGCATGTATTCTTCACCCTTAGACTGTGGGCTCCTTGAGAGAAGGGACTTTTTTTGTACCTTTTTTTATACCCTACACTTACCACAGTGCCTGGTACTTAATAAATGTTAGTTGAATGACAGACTGGTGATCACAAAGAACTATCATAATTTCATCAGCAGGTCGCCAAAAACTATGCTCATTTCCTTTTTTTGGTCAGCATTACTAAGCTAGTAGAGGAAAGGGATGCTTTAGCTATAGTTTAGTCCAGATTTTAGCAAACCTTTTGAGAAGACATTCCATATTATTTTTGTGGAGAAAATGGAGCAATGTTGACCAGATGCTAATATAATTAGATGATGTCAGAACTGGTTGGATGGCTGGACTCAAAGGATAGTTGTTAACATGACGAGAGGTCTCCAGTGGAGTAGCCCAAGGATCTGTGCTTTGCTTTGCACTGTTTGACATTTTTAATCAGTCACTTGGATAGATAAACAAGTGTCATGTACATAAGATTTTCAGATAGCATAAAGCTGAAGGGTAATAGCTAACACAGTGGGCAATAATAAAGATCCAAAAAGATCTGGATAAGATGCAGAATTGGACTAAATCCAATAAGATGAAATGTATGGGGATGTATATCAAGTGTTACACTTGGATAGAAAAAACAATCAACCGCACAAGCATGAGAGGAGAGGCTTGGTTAGACAGTAGTTGTTCTGAAAATAGTCTGAGCGTCTTAGTGAACGTCCAGTTCAGTATAAGTCAGTAGTATGATATGGCAGTCAAAAAAGCTGAAGTGATCCTGAATTTCATTAAGAGAGTCATAGCTTCTAGGAATAGAGAGGTGGTAGTCCCACCATATTCTATCCACTGCCACAATTTAAGAATGACATGAAGCTAAAGAGTGTCTGACAAAGGCAGTTAGGATAGAGAAAGGCCTCTAGTTTATGCCAAAGGAGGATTAGTTGAAGGAACCAGATAGAGAAGAGAAGACTTAATGGGGACCTGACAGCTGTCTTCAAGTATTTGAAGGATTGACATAAGGAGAAGTGAGCAGACTTGTTTTGCTTGACACCAGAAGGCAGAATGAAGAACAATAGTTGAAAGCTGCCAAAATGCCAATTTAGGATATTTGTCAGGAAAAACTTCCTAAAATTAGAGCTGCCTGAAAGTGGAATGTTCTGTTTCTGGACTTAATGAGTTCTCCTTCGTTGGAAATCTTTAAGTAGAGGCAGGACAGCCACTTGTTAGCTGTAATATAATTGGGGGTTCTTTTTGGATCTGGATTGGCATAGAAGGATGCTGGGGTCCCTTCCAACTCTCAAATTCTGTGCTTTTTTTTTTTAACTTTCTAGCATACCATGCTGTCTTCCTCCTCGTTATTGTTAATTAACACAGTAATTACAATGAAAGCTTTATTTAAAGCTTTGAACAACACAGATAGTTTGACTTATTTTGTAACCAATCTGTATAATAAAAAGCTCTGTGATAATGGGTTCTACTATATCTACTTTTTCATCTAAATAAATGGTCTTATAAAGAAGTCAGAAATGATATGATTTGGTATCCAGTAATATTTTAGTGATGGTACTTTAAAAAACGTACCTTGAAGCTCTGGTGTGCACTAATACAAACTGAACAGCGTCCATTGTCCTCAACCATCTTCATAGTCATCAACTTATTTATTGATTATTAATAGAGTTTAGAGCTATATTTATCTATGCTATTCTAATTTGGAGTCCGCTATTGACGATCCCAATGTAAAAAAGTGAGCTCTCTAAAAAGAGCTATATAGTTAGAAGAGTCTGGTGGCGGGGGGAGGAGGGGAACGACATTGGAGATGCTTCTACAATCCATTTGTTCGTGAACTTGCAGGAGGCAGAGAGAGGAAAGAAAATGTTTGGGCGTTTATATAAATAAGTGCATTACAGCTCATGTTTCCCATCCAGATAATGGGGCCAGCGGACTATTGTGTTAATCATTTCTATATGAAGACTGATTGATTCCTGACACACGTTTCTAGGTTTGAACTCAGTATTCCATAATCAGCTGGAATGGAGAGTTATACTATCCCTACTGAGGCTGGGTTCTTGGGAGGTCCAAGCTCGGTCATCCACCCCAACCTTCTTCTGGCTTTGGAGGTAAGTGAGAGCATTTAGGAACAAATATACCCAGGATCACCTTAGAGTCTGCAGAGGTGTTTGGGAGAATAGCGCACACTTAATGCCTGAAAGTGAAACGCTGTTGACTTGAAGACCTCGCTCTAGGGCCGGGAAAAACCGGAGAAATTGCGGACCTTCATACTAGTACTATGTTTTTCTTCCCCGCAGGTAAGTAGGACCTAGTGCGGGTGTGCAGAAACGCTGCAGAAGTCTGAGGGTAACAGGAAGATCTGGGAGGTACCTGAAGCTAGTGGACCTTGAAAGGAGGGAATGGAGAGGATGAGGCTCTACAGGATCCGCCTAGCCACCGCTCTTCTCTTGGGATTGGGGTAGGGTGGGGGGAGGAGGCGAGAAAGTGGTGGGGGGGAGAGGGTGGGAGCTGGGGGAGCTCAGAGCGGTCTTGTTTGCCAGTCTGCGTCGGTAGGCACAGCGGAGCTGGGGCGGGTCCATCGTCCCCCCAGCCCAATCCCCAGCCGAGAACGAGGCCTTATGAATAAGCAACCAACCGAGGCGCCCTCCTCCCAATGTCCTAGCGGTGGAGGCAGCCGAGTAAGCAGCAGCAGAAGCAGAAAGCAGCGGCCGCCGCCACCGCCGCAGGCGCCGAGATAGAATGCCTCGCCTTGGCAGCCTTGGCACCGCTTCCTTCCTCTGCGCGCTGCCCCCCTAAAGGGCGCAGAGCTCAGGTAAGGCAGGGGCCAGGGGCACCGCCCCCTCCGGCGCACCGGTCCCTGCATGCGGTCGAGCCCGCCCCATTTAATGCTTAGGGTGCGGGGTGGTGGCTGAGGGAATTGGGGGGGGGCAGTGGCTGAGTAGCCATTCGGTCCTTGGCGGCTCGAGGCTCGCCGGGTGATTCTCTGGGAGAAGTGGTGTTCTTGCGGGGGTGGAGGGCTGTTGATGGCGGGGGGGGGGGGTGTATGTCTTCACCCGCTTGGCATGTATGACTCGGAGTGGTACAGCTAACCAGGTAGACAGCAGGCCTCAGAGGATTCCCGGGCGTTCCCCAGTTAAAGGCCAGACTCGTTGCTTTCACTCTGGAGGATCCTTTGTGCTAGGGGAACTGGCGAGCCTGTCTTTTGTTTGCCTTTTTCTTTCTCTTCGCTTTTAGCCCCTCGTATTATAACAAAGAACAAGTTCAAGAAGACAAGTGCTTGCTTCGGTCAGATGGTCACTCACTATTCACCCAGTAGCACTCTCCGCAGATCAGCAGAACAAATGGGGCTATTAGATGGTGGAAATCTTTTCTTGTACTTTGTTGAAAAGATACAGTTGCGATCAGGGATGTCGCTATATTTGTTTTTTGAAAATTATTTTTATTTTCTTATTGACACAGCTTGATGGTTGTACTAAAAAAGGTCACTAAAATTTCTTTAAAATGACTAAGGGTTAGAGTTGGGCAAAGTAAGAAAAACTGAATGTCCCAGTTCTCAGGGAGTATGTTAGAGGGACAGCATCTCAATGTGCACACGAGCTGAATGCGTTTCCTTACTCTGGCCGGTGATTCTTTTAGTCTTGCTAGGTGTCAGGCATGAAAACTAAACTGACAAAGAAGATGCAAGAGTTGGAAATGTGGGATTGTTGTCAAGAGTTTGTGTGCTTTGCCATGTTTGCCTACCTGAAAATGGATGTCATCCATATGAATGAGGTGTCCTGCTCCTGGTATCTAATTTCAGTGCAGAGCTGAAGGGAGTGGGAAGGAGGGATTGTAGTTATTTAAAGGGGACTTTCATTTTTGGAAGTTTTAGTTTGTAACTCAAAAAAACAACACTATTGGGCTTAGATAAAAAAACTTTTCCGAGAAGAAATATTAGTTGTAAGTATTTTCCATCGACCTCTCTACATTTTATTTTTACAAATGAGGAAGTAAGAGGTCTCACTTAGTCTATAGTCAGGAATTTTTTTTTTTTTTAGTGAGGCAGTTGGGGTTAAGTGACTTGCCCAGAGTCACACAGCTAGGAAGTATTATGTGTCTGAGGCCGTATTTGAACTCAGGTCCTGCTGACTCCAGGTACGGTGCTCTATCCACTGCGTCATCTAGCTGCCCCTTATAGTCAGTAATTCTTGCACACTAAAAGTAATAACAGAACCTCATGTAATTATTTACTTGAACTGAGGATAAAAATGTAGAATCTTATGTTAAAGGACTTTCCTCCCCCTTCAGTTATAGGTGCATTTTGCTTTATGCAATAGATATATTCCTGAAAAGTTGTGTGCAAATTCACAGTTTTTGCATCAGATTTTATGTTAAATATACCAGGAGAGCTTGCTATTTAAAAGAGTACTAGGGTGAATTTCTTTGTAAGATGAAAAAAAATCTTCCTAATATTACTGATATTAGGTTTGCTTAAAGTAGTGTATGCTTGTATAAAGAGTAAAAAAAAAATCTGCTAATCATTCAAATTGCCAAGTAAGGTTAGAAAACCATAGAGTAGGGAAAGAAAGTAACAGGTTAGGTTAGTGAAAATATCTGTGCCATTGAGGAATAAAGGCTTATTAGTCAAGATTGGAGAAAACAAGGTCATGTGAGACCTGAAATTTCATAGATGAGCTTCCTTGCATGGAAAATCCACTGAATCATTGAAAAGGGGGTGGGAAATGGTACTGCATATCTGGCTGATGTCATGGATGTTGCAAACTCCTTTCTGTAAGTGTGAGAATGTTATATCACTGAACTAGGGTTGAGAAGATTCTTTCACTGCCCTACATTGCTAAGTTCCAAGGAGAGATCTGGAAGTCTGGCATGTAGAATTTAGATATAATTCTTAAAAATGAAAAGAACACTTCACTAGTGGCAAATAAATCAACCAACCTTGATCCTAAACTTCTTTCTCACTCAGTATCACCTCCTCTTTATAGTAGCTTTTTGTATTTCACTTTCCTCATTCTCCCCTCCCCCAATTTTCAGAGACCTGCTCTTTGAAAAGTTCATACATCTTTCCAGCTTATTTAAATTGCATAGAGGATGACCAGAGCATGAATCTGGAATGATGTAGCAGGACAATGACAATTGTCAATTTGCCCAGTGATGCAGATGTTAAAGGGTGCTAGCAGGAACGCTGAAGACAAAACTACGTTGATAGGGCCAGGTTTATGGTGATAAGCTTAGGTGACTTATTGAGAAGTAGTGTATTGGAAGTGGTAGACTTAATGGTTAAAAAATTGAGTTAAATAAGAATGAAGTTGATTGATAGAAAGAGGTGTGTTGACATACATTAAAGAAGAAATCATGCACTGGAAGAAAGGATGTGAGACAAAAGCAAATAAGGGAAATATTATCTTTTTTCTTTCATAAATAATTTGTAGATATATACATATATACATATATGTACACAAGCTATGAGAAGAAATTGAGAAAGAAACTTGGGAGCAATGATAAGCTGATGCACCTATGATAGAATTGAAGCTTTGGGAAGGTCAGGGAAAGCCACATTAACAAGTCTGATCTATTTCTTTCTTTTTAAAACATATTTATTTTTATCACTATCTTTCATTTTTAACATTGTGCACATTCCCCAGAGTATCCTTCCCTTCAAGAGAGCAGTCCCTCGTGATAAAGAGGAAAAAAAGTTCAGCAAAATTAACACATTGAAAAATTCTAACATTATGTGCAGTGTGTCTGATCTATTTTTCAAAAATAAGATTAATTGAAAATCAAATGCACATTGGAAAGTTATCATTATTAGCACTATTATTTCTTTTGAAAAAAATTATTGACCTTTTGTTTTCACATCACCTTCATTTCCAAGGTATTCCTTCTCCCTCCCCCCCCTTGAAGAGAGGTATACTATGTATTAAAGACTATTTTTTAAGAAGAGAGAGGAGAAAAAAATCATACATCATATCATTACATCAGTACAAATAAATCAGATAATATAGGCAATATTCCACCCCGATAGGGGGTAGAACTCAAGATTTGGAGTCAGGATGACCTAGGATTGAATATTGCTTTAGACACCTCCTTGCTATGTGATCCATGGTAAGCCACTTAACCTTGCAGCCTCAGTTTTCTCGTCTATAACATGGGGGAAATAATATAACCTATGTGTTACTATGCCTCCCAAATCTCTGCGAACAAGGACAGGAAGTACATTCTTTCTTCTTTTTTTTTTAGGGCCAAGTTGAACATTATAATTACCCAGCACTCAGTTTCTTTCTTTCTTTCTTTTTTTTTTTGTTATTTCCATTTCCATTTTAATGGTCATGATCCTGTTTTCTTCAGTTTGTATTAGTTCATATCTTCCTATTCTTATTCATTGTTTATTACAATGCAAAATATTCCATTATCTTCATGTGTCACATTATTTAGCCTTCTGTGTGTTATGGTAAGACTTTGGAGAGGGATTTAAATAGAGTACTACTATCAATAATTTATCAACAATCAGTAAGTGTTTCTTAAGTCTTTGTTATGGGCCAAGTATTATGTTAAGTGTTAGGAATACAACAAAAGCAAAACAGTCCTTGCTCTCAAGGAACCTGTATTCTAATGGGGGAGACAGCATATAAATAACTGTGTGTGTGTACACACACACACACACACACACACACACACACACACACACGCAGAGGAGATGTAAGGAAACCTTAGAGAGTAAGGCTCTAAGTTGGAAGTATTGGAGAAGGCTTTCCATAAAAGTTGGCATTTGAGCTGTCTTCAACGAAACCAAGGAGTCTGAAAGGCAGAGAGGAGAAAGGACATTCCTGCCGTGTGGCACAGCCAGTACAAAGGCACAGAGATGAAGATGGAGTGTTGTGTGTGAGGAATAGCAAATAGGTCAATATGGCTGGATCCTAGCTATGTGAAGGAGAATAAAGTATTAGAAGTCTGGGAAGGTAGGAAGGAGCCAGGTTTTTAAGATCTTTAAATTCCAAACGAAAGATTTTATAGTCTGTCCTGGAGGTAATAGCGAACCACTGGAGTATATGGAGAAGAGAGGTGACATGATCAGACCTCTACTTTAGGGAAATTACTTTGACAGCTGTGTGGAGAATGGATTGGAGTGGGGAGAGATGGGGGAGAGCTAAGCAGGACCATTGCAATAGTCTAGACAAGGGGTGATAGGGTCCTGAACTATTGTGATGTCTGTATGAGTGAAGAGAAGGGGACATATTTATGAGACGTATTATATGAAGGTGGAAGTGACAAGATTTGGCAACCGATTGGTATGTGGGTATGGGAGAAAGAAGAGTAAAGGATGATACTGACATAGACCTGAGTGTCTGGGAAGATGGTGATACCTTTTAGAATAATAGGGAAGCTTGGAAGAGGGTAGGGTTTTGAGGAGAAGGAGAAAAACATTCTGTTTTACAGTATGTTGATTTTGACATTCCTATGGGATATCTCCTTCAAAATATTTAATTGGCACTTTGTGATGTGAGCCTGGAGCTCTAAGAGTTATTTGCATAGAGATGACAACTGAACTCTTGGGAGCTGATGAGGTCACCAAGTAAGATAGTGTAGAGAGAGAAGGAAAGAGGGTTCCAGATAGAGCTTTGGTAAACATCAAGGTTAATGGCAGTGATGTGGAAGGAGATTCAACAAAGGAGATTAAAACTGACATAGAAGGAAAACTAGGAGAAGCCAATGTCATGAAAACTCGGGAAAGAGAGAGCATACAGGAGGAGGTGATCAATAATGTCAAATGCTGCAGAAAGGTGAAAAAGGGTGAAGATTGATAAAAGACCAATT